AATAATATAATAATTTCAAGCAATAAATTAAAACCCACCAAATCATTTCTCCATTTTTCTTCTCTTATTAAGAAGAGTTCGAGTTGAACCAATGGGTTTTTGACCATATCCCACCATATCAATGCGTAGGTTCCTTATTCTCGAGCCTCTTTCCTCCTCGTTTTCTTTACGCGTATTTACGGGTGGAGGCACATCCGCAAATCGCATTGGACATTTTTGATTAATTTGCGCCTCAATACTGCCTGTATTGGGCGCTTTTACTTTTACATTTTGCAAAGCTTTGCAATCTGCCGCAGTCATGTTCTTGACGTCCATATCCTTATAAGTAATTCCTTAAAAAAAAAATAATAATAAAATAATAAAATAAAAAAAAAAATAAATAAATTTGGTTAGAAATAAAATACTAAATATATCATAAGTAGAATAGTACTTTCACTTCAAAAGTGAACAATGGACGCAGAGAATTTTACAAGCAGGTCAAGAGGATATCCACCAAGAAACAAGTACTCTTCTAAACTAATTATATACCGTTTGTATTAAATATTCAGCATGAAAACTTACTTTATAGCAGACACTTCTTTATAGCTACAATATATATTTATTAAAAGTTAAAAAAGAATTGAAAGAGTTGAAAGAAATTCAAAAAAAGTAAAATAAAATGAGGGCTTGAAGTTGAAAAGTTTTGTGGAAAGTAATTTATAATATCGGCGCAACCACATAACCAATTCCGCCAATTAATTTGTTTACAATAATTACTAAATATAGTGTAATTTTCAGCAAATCTTATTATATTTAGTAACAAATTGATTGGCGGACCACCTACATAAGAAAAAATTTTTTTTTTTATTTTGATTGGCTAATCAAATAATCATATGATACCTTTATAGTAAACCTTATTTTATTGACTTTATTTAATATAGTAGATTATAACCAATTTTTTAAAAAAAAAAATTATTTTTTTTAATATATCTGAAATTCATATTTGAATGATAAAGCTAATTTTAATTAATTTAGATAATAATTATAATAATTATAATTATAAAAAAATAAGAAATAAATAAGTATATATGTTATATAAAATATATAAAGAATTATTTAAATTAAAAAAATCAGAAAATTATAGGATTAATAATATAAAACTTCTTTTATTATAAAAGAATTATTAACTAAAGAAAAAGTTTTTTGTATAATTAAGCTAATATATTAATAGTTTAAATAATGAAAAAAAAAAAATTATTTAAAAATATACTTTTACTAAAATCTAATTGTCTAAGTTTTTTAAAGAAATTAAAAGAAGTAACTTCTATTATTATAAATATAGATAATGAAATTAATAAATATTGGATTTCTACTGAAGCTAAAGAAAATGTAAAATCTTTGGATAGTGAAAAACTCATTCTATGAAATATCCTAATTTATTAAAACTTGCATTTGAATATTTATTTAATAAAATAAATTTATTATGTATTTAATATTTTAAAAAAATAAATATATTTTATATATATTAAATAAATATTTAAAAAAAAATATATTATATTTAAAATACTATATTTCATATTTTATATTTCAATTATTATTTTCAAATTTATAAGATATTTTAAGTATATTTTAATTAATAAAAATAAAATAATAATCATTTAAATCTTCTTATAAAAATAAAGCTAATGCTTTAAATATCATTAAATTCTAATTATTAGTTATAATAATATTGTTTATTTTATATTCATATAATATAGGAAAATATAGTTGTTAATAATATAACATTTATAATTGAATTTACACTCTGATTCATGTTCAGCTATAAAAAAAAAAAAGAATTATTTTAAAAATTAATATCAATATAACTTTCTTTTCAAAATTAGGATATTTAAAGGTCTAACACGTTGATTTAATGCGTTATACACAATTTAAAAAAAATATAACATTCTAAGCCACCGGCAATTCAAAAGATTCGTTATAAATAATTGTTTTTTTGGGACGAACAAATTTGTAATTCTTGGAAAATAGGAACGCATAATATTATTCAAACTTTAATAAAAAATTCGGATGAAGGCGAATTAGGATCGAAAGAAGCATAAAAGGTATACGGATTTTTTTTCATATATTTAGACGGATCAAACAAGAAAAAAATTGACATTCATTTATATATTATAGGAATTTTATCTGTATTAAAAACGAATTTTGAAATGTTCCTAGGGAATTTATTAATTAAGATACTGCGACGATTACGAGTTTTCCTAAACCAACTTCTATATCGATCCGATGTCAATTAGCATATGAACTAGGGGAATTATTATTTTTTTCGGATGATAAAGTAAATCTGTCGAATGTTTATGAATGTAAACTTTCGAATGATATTGAAGAATATATTGCTTTTCGATACGTTATTGATTAATCAAATACTTTCATAATAACATCTAGAAAAATTAATCAGAACTCAGAAAATATTTTCACGGATGATCAAATTAATCATTTTATACAACTATGATGGCGTTTTCTTGATGAAGATTCGAAACAAATTTAAGTTTTATAACCGAGATGTTTTATTGGATTATTTCTTTTTTTATTTATCTTTTATACTAATGGATTTTTTCCGCTGAAAATTTCTTAAGAATTTACAAAAGATGAGACTTTAAGGATGAATTCAAGTTTGGTTTTTTAAAAAATTAGTCGATTTTGTAACATGACATAGTGCGTTAGTTTTTGGAACTATTACAGTATATCACAAGATAACAAAGCTAATAACTATGATTTATAATATTCACTAGATATTAAATGATTTATTTGCGATCTCTTTGTTAACATCGAAATTCAGAATCAATACAGTCAAATTGTAAATCGAATATTCAATTCACTATTCAATTGCTAGTAGTTCTTATTAGCTTTGATACATGGGAGGTTTGCTATAAAATCAAGTTACGAACATAGTAAATCATATGATCCGTAACGTGATTTTAATAGAACATCTTTATTAAAAGCGAATGTCTAAACATTTTGAAAAGTGAGACGGCCGAGTAGCCGATATTTTATGGTTCTCTCTCTCAAAGACGCTTTTTGAGGAGTATGAGGATTGTTCTTTTCAATTACAGTACTAAAGACAAATTAGATTTTGCTTTAATCAACAAACTAATAAAAAAATTCTTTAAATATTTTAGCGACTGATTGAAAATTACCAACTGGTGGTAATCTGCTTGTCCCAAAACCTACACGATAATAACAAAATAAATAACGATGTGTAGTGTTATAGATAATGCTGTATTATTACTAACCAAAGCCAAAGAAAGTTCACGCAAATACCTTTATTTGGTGCCATAAACCGTCGCATTTGATACCAGCTATAAATGAAAGATATTCATACATGATAAATCGTTTGATTTTGGCTGCATGAGGTTTCATCAACTTGGTCACTCTCAGATACTATAATTATTAATTGTGAAGGAAAAATTATTTAATTAGTAAATTTATAAAACTATCATAATGTCTTAAAGTTCTTTAACACTATTTACTTTGATCATTGACGATATAGGGCTTGTATGGTTGGTAATTGCATATTCTTTCAACCATAAACGTCAGGTAAGTTACTATAATTATTATGTGAAAAAAAAATTACATTAGTAAATTTATAAATCATCAAGTTTCTCAGCGCTATGATATTTACTTTGACGATATAATAAATATTTGCTGTGTGTTTAAGAGCGATTTTATTTTTGTGATGATCATTTTGAAATATCACATAATTATTAATTTTGATTGGTACAAAATTGATCGTCATAAAAATTACCAAAATAGAAAGGTTATTAAAAAATATTTTTCGGCTAAATTTTTTATCTATATTTTTTTATAATAATCATTAAAATTAGAAAAAAGTAGAAAATTAAAAAGGAACTTGAAACATTAAATTAAAAAGTAAAATTATAAATATACTAGATATCATACATTTAAACCACTATTTAATAATATTGATTAATGTATCAAATATTTAAATGTTTAGATTAAGAAGGTATAATATTTATATGTAATCATATTTTTCATTATAATGTTTTTTAGAATAAAATAATTATTGTAAAGAATTCTATAAAAGGTATTATTTTTAATGTAAAATCCTATATAAAAAGATTATAAAAAGATAATAATATTAATAATAGTTTATTAAATAATAAAATATTAGATAATAAAAAAGTAGCAATAGTAAAAAAAATATTGGTAAACTTTAAAGATATTTAAACTTGATAAATTATAAGTTATTAAATAAAATATATTGTAATATATATAATTTTAATCTTAAAATTTTGGCTTTCATCTAATTTTTTTAAGAGTAGAGATCTCCAGATCTTTTTTACCCAAATGTAAAGAAAGGATTTTATCTTCATCATCATTTTAATTTTAGTTATCACTACCTTTAAAGTAATAGAAATAATTACTATATTTTGTATACTCATAAAATAAGAAAAAAAATTAATGATATACATATTTGATGAATTTTATATAATTATAAAAAGATTTAAGATTAAATTCAAAAAATAAAAATTCACGAAAATATATAAAAAGTAGCTCTTATATATATACTACTTTTTCTATAGAATTTATAACAAATTTGTTAATATTGTAAAGAAAGTATTTAGTATTTCTAATATCTCTATAGATATATTTGTTAATTTAAGCATAATTACAACATCTCATATAATCATATAGCATAAAATAATTATAATTGATGATTATACTAAAATTTATATCCTTTATTGAACAAGCTTTCTGTTACTTTTTTAATCTAATATTGTAACTATATATAATTAATTTTTCTAATTTAATATTATTATTAATTAAATAGAATTGTTAATATTGATTAATAAAAGATCATAAAGAATTATAAATCTATTATTTAGATTTAGTTTTACATTAATTAATTTAGAATTGATATATTAATTTTAGAATTATACAATATGTAGTAATTAGATTTATTAATTGTTATCAATACTTTATAATAGAAAAAAAGAAATTTATAAAAAACATTTTTTTATAAATAAATTTGAATTTATTTTACTAAAAAAATAATATTTAACTTAAGTAAAAAAAAATATTTTAATAATTTTTCCTTTTCTATTATAAAATACTTATATTATGCTATTACGTAATATAAATATTTATAATATTAATTATAAAATTAATATAATTTGATTAGCTAATCATATAAAAGTTTTTCTATAAATCAAGTAATAAAATTTGTTAATTATATGTGATTTTGAAAATTTGGTATTAAATATTTACATATAAACTCAATTATATTATATAAAAATAAATTTTAAAATAAGTTTATA